TATTGTTGTTGTTGTATATTCTGCCAGGTAAACATCCAAATTTGGATTTGTGTGCCTTAGTGAGTGAATAAGTGAGTGAGTGAGTGAGTCTGCCAGAAAGCGTTAGACGTTTTCACTCGCAAAATAAACAGAGCTGTCTTAATTCAAAAATTTTTCTCTCTGCAATTAGGAAATCTCGGTTTCGCAAGTTTGACGCACAAAAGATTCGTCTCATAGCACGGGTCGAAATGGAGGACTGAAATTATTGACCGCCTGCAGCCACTAAACAGGGTCGCATAATTGCAATGTGATCCTTTCCATCGAACGTTTTGCTTGTTCTTGAAGAAATGGCAAATGTTAGCAAAAGTCCATTATCACTGATGGCAATAAGTCACAGATTTTCGTGGTAATCTGATAACGACACAAATTTATCATTTAAATATGTTAATGCAATAATCAAATGCGCCCTGTATTAATTGCGTTGTCAACCGCTGAACGTTTGAACTGAACCGTTAAATGGAAGGTGCAGTTCCTCAGAGGAAAGTCATATAAAACGCATCACATCGAATTTGCTTAAGAAATAAACTATTCCTATTAACCGCCAATTCCCTTAAACAAGTAACTCATCCAAAAGTGCTTCGGTGAGACAAACCCAGAAATGGCTGACAGTTGGACGATCTACGTGCTATGGGAAGCACTGTATGGTAGTGTGGTCATGCCAGAGCTTGCCGGACTTATAGCTATTCTGCCCGTTGCTTGAAACCATCATCATCTTCTTCTTCCATCGCCGCTTCTCCTTTCGGGTCGCGGAAGCAGACACGTCAGACAGAGCTTCCAACGTTCCCGATCATGTGCCAGAGTCTGAGCTTCGACAAAAGACAAATGCAGTCTGGAACAAATTCCTTCCATATGTTTGCACCAGATTAATTTTGGCCGTCCCCTTGGCCTTTAGCCGGTCGGATTTGCAAGAAACAGTCGCTTAGCCTTCCTTTCCGCAGACATTCGCAACACATGCCCAAACCATCGCTGCTCTGACTTTTCCATCTGGAGAAA